AAGTCAGGTCCTCTGGACAGATTATTGTTGCTAACATTAATCTGTCCAGAGGACCTGACTTGACTTGCTTAGATGTTTCTACCTGGATTATTGAGCCTGAATCAGGAGGAGGCTTTCAGGTACCTGATGAAAGGACGAATGATCTTAACGGACTTCTGTCATCTGCTCCTATCAGGAATATTTGAATGTGACTTGATGTTTATATGGGAGAGAACGGTAGAGAGAGGTGTGACGCTCACCTGTTTGAGGCTGCGGAGTCTGTCCAGAGTCGTCCTCCTCTCCTGACTCAGCGAGACGTTTCTTTCATCTTCATCTCTTTCCTGCTGCACAGACACCACAACATGCAGCTGTGAGATGCTTTTACTTTGGAGCAGCACACTACAACAAGCGCTGCATCCATCTCCACGTCTGTGAGGGGTCTGAATGATGAACACTTGCAGTTTTCAACACGAGTGCAACATGTTCAGGTGCACAGGAGTTACACCATGGAGAAGAACAGAGGGAGGTTTATGATTTCATTTTGTTTTGTTGTGGCAGCACGATGACTCAGTGGTTAGCACTGTTGCCTCACAGCAAGAAGGTCCTGGGTTCAATTCCCGGTTGGACCTGGGGTCTTTCTGTGTGGAGTTTGCATGTTCTTCTTGTTCTGCGTGGGTTTTTTCCAGGTACTCCAGTTCCCTCCCACAGAGCAGAAACATGCATGTTAGTCTGCCTTCAGGCCCAGGCCTGCCTTAAAAGAATCTGTGATCTCAGTGGGATTAGCCTGCTTAAATAAAGGTTAATAAATAATAAATAAAATGGCAGAAGCAACGTAGACTGACGGAGTCTGCAGCAATAAGTTCATGCACAAAAAAAATAAATAAAATAATAATAATAATAATAAACTTTATTTCTATAGCACCTTCCAACAACGCCTTGCATTGACCAAGGTGCTTTACAAGACAAAACAAATAAAAACAGGACACAATAAATCAGTGCAAATTAAAAACCGCCAGAATAAAAGAAGATAAAAGAGATTAAAAAAATGCTAAATACTAAAGTACTAAAAGTTAAACATTAAAAGCCTTATTAAATAAGTATGTTTTCAGTTTGGCATATTTTACTGTGCACATACACACTGACCTGTCGCAGTGTCTGTAGAGAGCTGCAGTCAGCGCTGCCTCCCTGCTGCTCCTGGACTTTCTGCTTGTGATTAGCG